CAAAAAAAGGGTTTAAAAAAAAAAAATAAAAAAAAAAAAAAAAAAAAAAAAATTTTTGGGAAGGGGGAAAAAGACAAAAAAAGGGTTTAAAAAAAAAAAATAAATAAAAAAAAAAAAAAAAAAAAATATTTTGGAGAAGGATGCAATAGCTAAGAAATGGTTTACAATATGATAGCTAATGTAAAAAGTAGAAAACTATAATGCATATTATGGATACATTATTATATAAAAATATAACTGCATAAGAATAAAACCTGATAACAATGAAAAGTTGGGGCAGTTTTCACTGGGATGATTTTTTTTTCCTGAATTAATATTTCCTCTAGGACTGTTTATAAAGTCTCTTTATAAATTCTACAAGGTAGGAGCCCAAAGGTAGCCCAAGGTAGGTATACTCTTGCCAGAATTCCCTCTCTAACAAGGCTGGAGGAACACTCAATAACTGCCAGACAAGTTGAATCAATCAATAATCAATCAATCCCAGTGATCAATGGCAAACCAGATATTACACTCATAATTCCATGCTGTTTTAATTTCATTTTTACAGCAAACAATATTCAAAAGAAAAACACTAAGGAAAGACTGTTAGCACACACATCTGATTGCCTCTTATCTAACCAGTTGTTACTACAAATGTATGGGAGTATCGTGCTTCAAAAACTTAACTCAATGGGCCGGCCCGTGGCTCACTCGGGAGAGTGCGGTGCTGATAACACCAAGGCCCCGGGTTCGGATCCCATATAGGGATGGCCGGTTCACTCACTGGGTGAGCGTGGTGCTGACAACACCAAGTCAAGGGTTAAGATCCCCTTACCGGTCATCTTTTAGAAAAAAAAAAAAAAAAAAAAAAACTTAACTCAAAAGATCGTGCTAGTTATTTTTTTAATCCAGCTAAGATACATTCTTATCAGAGATAAAAAATAAACAATAAAAAGGATACCCACACAAACATTAGCTACACCCCCTAAAAAATAAAACAACACTTATGAATATTCAGACAAAATTAAATATTTTAAACTCGGAATGGTGAAATTTGGAATGTGTGAGCCTTGGCATAGCTGGAGAAGGCTTTATAGAATAGGGAATTAAACCAGTCAGCCAATACTAAACTCAGTTGGATGAACTGCTTTTTTAAGGTAGTACCTGAAACCTACAACCAACTCAATTTGGAAACAAAAACACTTGTGGCTTGTTTAACAAAATCAGGAAAGTCTCCATGCTTGTCAAAGTAACATCAAAGAAATATACCACAATTATTTGAAAAGGCCATTAAAATACTCCTCCCTTTTCCACTACATAAGGAAAGGATTATCTGTGTAAGGCTGTGTAAGGCTGGATTATCTTCATTTACTGTACTTAATGAAAACAACATATTGTTAACAGATTCAAGGTGGAAGTAGACAAGTTTTTTATTTAAAGAATGTTAACGTGTGATGAGATACTATTTTCAAATTAATTTTAAAATATTTTCCATTTTTTTCCACTTTAGTTCCTGATATCAATAAATATAGCCCACATAAATAAAGCTTTCTGCAATCCACAATACTAGTTGAGTATAAAGGAGCCTGAGACCAAGATGCTTGAGAACTGCTGAATTAGAGGATAAATTATGAAAATGTAATATTGATCAGAGGCCCAATAGAAGTTCTGAGAAAGTGGAACGTGTGTGCTTTGGCATAGTCAGAGAAGGCAGTATGGAAGAGGTGGGATCTAACCTGAGTCTGGAGGCCTGGCTGGACTTGAAAGCAGTGGTGGTACACAGGAAAAGCACTCCAGGCATGAGGCGCCGCAGGAGCACGAGCTTGGAGTTGAGAAATGAATAAGAGCAGAGAACAATCAAGGGACAAGCCCAGACGGGGCCAGGGGACAGCAGGCTTTGATGGTCAGAGAGGGTGGTCGAGCCTGACCTGGTAAGAAGGGAGTCATGGTACATTCTTGAGCAGGGAGTGGCGAGATAGAGCATGACCAAAATTAATCTGGTGGTGGCAGGCAGGAGTGATTGGCGTGGTTAAGAAAACTAGAAAGCCTAGAAAACTTCCGCCATAACTCAGAAGAGTAAAAGCATAAACCAGGACGTGTCTCACCGTCTGCATGAACAGCTGTATGTGCTCCTGCAGGTGAAGGGACTGGGGTGCGGGGAGCTGTTGCATCAACGGGGCAGGTATTAGAAGACGAGGGATAAGACAGAAACTGGAGGTGACTGGGGGGTCCTATTCATATTGGTTAAAAGCTTTCTCTCCAAATATCCAGATTTTTTTTTTTTTTTTTTTTAAAGATGACCGGTGAGGGGATCTTAACCCTTGACTTGGTGTTGTCAGCACCACGCTCTCCCAAGTGAGCAAACTGGCCATCCCTATATGGGATCTGAACCCGGGGCCTTGGTGTTATCAGCACCACACTCTCCCGAGTGAGCCACGGGCTGGCCCCAAATATCCAGATTTTAATATGACAAGACCCAAAATATTTTCTAGGAGAGTTGGCAGTGTCTTATCTCTATTACAGTATCAAGATTTATACTACTGATAGTGTCAACAATTTCAAGAATTTTGAGTTAACTTCAAGGAAAACAAAAAAACTGAGCCAGAGAAAAGGTTCAGCTCGGTGACACCCTCCCCTACCTGCCCACCCCCCTTAGTGAGCCCTTCCTCCTCCGAGGACAAAATATCCAGCTTTTTATCAAGACCCCAGGGTCCTCCATGGTCTGGCTTTGACTTCCTCTCCCACCCCGGCCTCTCACTCCTGTCCCCACTACCTGCTCTTCAAGCTCTCGGAAGGGCACGACCATGTTTATTTCTCTTGAAGGTGCCTTGCACATGGTAGGTACTCACTGCTTTATAAAAGACAGAAGGGGGAGGAAGTAAACAGAAGGGAAGGACAGGGAGGGCCCCACAGCCATAACATGCCTGGCTAAAGAAAAATGCTGTCTTCTCCCAGTGGACCTACAGAGGTCAGTCTGCAGAGGCCTCCACCCAGAGTGGACCCGACTCATTAGCTGCTTCCCACCAGAGAGGTAATTAGAAAACATCCCGTTATGCCCACATTTGGCCTGTTCAGTGGCACTATATAGAGAAGACTTCACTGCCTGGAATAACCTTACGCCCACCAAGAAAATCACTCCTCAAGTGGGCGGAGCTTCCCTAGGGCCATGCTGAGAAAGGAAAACAGCTGTCCCCTGCAGCAGGAGTGGCTCTAAAAAGTGCACAGTAGGACTTTCCTGGCATAATAGTACTGAAAAGTGGTCAGCTACATGAATCTGCATCCACACCTTCAGCAACTGCATAAGGGACCCATGAGTGGCTCTCAGAGCTCCCAAGGAGACAAGCTTCAGGACTGTCTTTAGCTGGGGTGGCCAGCACAGGAGAGGAACTTACCTCCAGGGTGATCATTTCCCGTGGGAGAGGCGTCGGTGGGTACTTCTCAGGTAATTGAACTGCAATCTCATTTTTAATCTCATCTTCCAGAAAACCTGAGGGATGAAACCCCACCAGAGAGCCCAAGGTGACTGTGTTTTCTCCTGAGAAACGGGGTCAAGCAGGACAGCTACCTTTTGGCCAGCTCAGCTACCTGAATTGACTGAGGACCTGCCACCTGAATCCCACCCCCAACTTCCTCCATCCCGTCTCCATGATCACCTCAAAAATTATTACAAATAGGGGGCCTAGCTGGTTAGCTCGGTTTGTTAGAGCACGGTGTTATAACACCAAGGTCAAGGGTTTGGATCCCCTCATCTGCCAGCAACCAATAAAAAATAGGGATGCATTTGTTAACTGCGTCCTACAAACTACTTACCTTTTTGCCAGTTCACATTTAGATGGTGAGCAAAAACTTTACTTACGGAGGATTCTCTCCAGTGACTCACACCTTCTGACTTCATTCACAAATTTCCTTTGGAAGCTATTCACGTTTGCATTTAACTAGGGGGAAAAACACAAGGCACACATTTGTAGCAACAGCTTCCATCATATCCCTTTTGGTTATTGTACTATCTTTTTAATGCTGGAGAATATTGCTGGAATTGTCTTTCCATGCACAAGACATGTAAGTCACAGGCAAAACACACCAAGGTGTTGTTAATACTCAATCCCCCAAATGCCTCAGCTCTGGCCTTCCCATTTCTTTCTTTCTTTCTTTTTTTTTTTAAAGATGACCGGTAAGGGGATCTCAACCCTTGACTTGCTGTTGTCAGCACCACGCTCCCCGAAATGAGCTAACCGGCCATCCCTATATAGGGATCCGAACCCGTGGCCTTGGTGTTATCAGCACCACACTCTATCAACTGAGCCACGGGCCTGCCCTAGCCCTTCCATTTCTAAGAGAAACAAAGTCCTCCTCCAACATCTAAGGTTTCCTTATTTTTAGCCACACTGGCTATCCAAATGAGCCTCAAAATGCTCAGTGGGGTCACGAATATGACCAGACCTTGAAACTGCACAGCTCCATGCAACATATCACAGTCATCAACAAAAATTCAACTCTCGTGCTGGTGACCCTCGGCTCAGCCCAGTAAACTTTACTGAGGATCTGTCTCATGTCGGGTCCTGTGCTAGGGACTAGGGATGCAAAAGACAAGACATGATACTTTTTTGCAGGAACTTGGCTTTGACCTTGCCCTTGGTGAGGAAGTAAAGATGGATTGACTTTCTAATTGGGCTCAATAGGAGCTTGGTGAGGATCTAAACCACCCCAGGGAAAAGATACCCTGACATCACACTCCAGAGTCTACCCCTAGGATGTCACTCTGGAACTCAGTCCTGGGTATCACAACCAACTGCGGACTCCAGAATACTTTGTCCTCAGTCAGTGTAGTCAGGAAAAACAGGTTTTTGTCCACAGAACAAGATCTGGTAATCCGTACACCCATTGGATATATCCAATGCTTTGAAGATGCTACACAGGAAATAAAATACAATGACATCCAACATACAGAGATTGCGTTAAAGCCTCAAACCACTCCTATACAGGAGACAGATATAGAGGGTGGGAGGACATGTTTGTGAATGAGTTGCCCAACGTCATTGCAAATCCTAGCCAGAAGGAAGAGGCACAGAATTCCACCTATTTTGTTTTAGCTCAGGGCTCCTCTCCCTACAGAATACATTTTGCTCCCTACAAGGAAGTGTTGTGAAAGGGCTGTCTACTCCCACCCTGCCTTCCTCTTATCTCCAAAGAATGCGGTACCTACATCTTTGAACTGAACCAATCCGAGCTCTCCGAGCTCAGCTACACAGCAATACGCAGCCTCCACCTGCAGAAACAGCTGTGACAAACACATCTCCTCACTTCGAAACACGGACGCCATCGTGGCCTAGTCTTGGTCTGCAGCAGAAAAAGAGAAAGATATTTAAGGTAATAAATGGGTGAAAACTTGAGGATGAAAAATTTTTTTAATTAACTTAAAATTCAACAGGAAAGAAAAAACCCCAACAGGAATCACTTCTGATTTTAAAAATAGAAGCAAACACAAGATAGCACTTTTCAGCGTCTATCAAATCGACAAAAGATTTAAAAATATGATGAAAGATGTGAATTGGGAAGAGTATGAAGAAGCAGGCCTTTTCATACACTTAGTAGTTCAAGTATAAAATCTTGATTGCTTTTTCAGAGAGCAATTTGTCGATATCTATCAAATTTTATATTACTCATATCCACAACCCAAGATTTTCACTGCTATTTATTCAGATAAACCTGTATATGTATGGAAAGATAAACCTGTATATGTACAGATGTTTCTTATAACATTGCATGTAATAATTATAATGAATGGCTCTAATGTACATGTCCATCAATGGAATGATTAAATAAACTGGTACAACAGAACCCTGCGGAGTCATCCGGGATGAAGTAAATCTGTACGTCCTGCATATGGAAGAAGATATTCATCCAGAGGGGGAGAAACCCCTGTGAGTTAGTGCGGCCTGCCTGCACGTTACAGTTCCACCACGTACTCACAAGTAGGAGTTGACACTTCTGGTTTTCAAGAAATGAGTAAGACAACACACACCAAGAGGGGGTCATAGACATATAGAGTCAAATATAATAAAACATCCGACATGCTCTAACAGATGTATGTACAAAGTTTAACTGTGAAGCAGTCGGGAGAGCCACAAACACCACGGGCCTCAAAGCAATTGCCATCTGCCCCCACACAGCAAGGGAACAGAGCTCGGAGCGGTCGGAGGCCTCCGAGCAGATAAAATGCAGTCCCAACTAGGGGGCGTCACGGTTTGTGACTCCTGATAGACCCCCTCCCCAAATAGACCATCCAAGTCATACTGCCAATTGGACTGCAGTTAGGTCTGTTAAAACGGATGCCAAGGAGGGCCATCTCCCAGGGGCCGGAGACAGTGGAGACTCTTCAATGTAAAATTGAAGACCATGGGAAGGCAAGGCGGAGGGGGTGGCTACAGCACCCATTCCCATCGAAGATCCTCTAGATGGCCCTCCTGCTGCCAAACTAAATTGTTTCCCCCCAGTCAACCTTCTAGAAGAACTACATGCCCCAGAGTGGATTGCATTCTGTACAGTATAGAGTGTCTGTTACTTGACAGACACTGGGCCTTTCCATTGTCCCAATTTCTGGCAAAACAATCTAAAGCCCTTGAGCTGGTCAACAAAGGCTGCAGGACCTGGCCCATGTCTCCTGCAGCTTTGTCTGGCTTGACACTGCTGTCCAGATACCCTGCATTCCTCCCTAACCCCCCGCCACCTCAGGGCCTTTGCTCGTGCTTTTCCTAGACTTGGAGCCTCAACCTCTCCCTCTCCACCCTCCGTCCCCATGTCCCACATAATCCTGCCATCCCTCCAGTCTCAGCGTAAGGATCCTCTTCCACCACAAGCCTTCCCTGACCACCACCAACCCCTGTCCTACATGCTCCCAGAATACCAATCATTGGTGATCACCTGTGTAATGCCTACCTGTATACCCCCCTAGCCAGTAACGTCCATGAGGTTAGAACTATGTCATGCTGCTCACTCTAGCACCAGGCTAGCTCAATATTGACCACAAAGTAGGTACTCAAAAAATATTTCCCAACTTATTGCCTAGAGGATAAACATCATCCCCACCCTCAGGGAGTACTTAAGTCTGGACCTTTATGTTTGCCTTTTGACACCAAGATGAATCAAAACTTTTCACACTGTCTTTCTGATAAATAAGGCAACGTGTTCATAGGTAAGCAACATAAGACATTAGCTTCATGCAGACCAAAAGGCACAGTATAGAGACCCTGCTTACCCCAGCTTTGTCCACGCCTGTCCCAAGCGAGGGTCTGGAGCTGACCCAAGGGCTGTGGCTCTGCAGTGGCCTCCTCCACCCGATGCACCAAGCAGGGAGCCCTGCAGTGGCCAAGCCTCAGCTGTGGCTTCAAAGTGGCCCAGGGCCCAAATGGGACGGGCCTGGCTGGTGGATTTGCAGGTGTCCTCCCTGCGGCAGGGCGCCCCTCCTGGCTCTTTCTCCTCCAAGGGAGGCGCCCGCCCGCAGGGACAGGAGGCAGCTCTGTTGTATCAACACCGCCTGTTGTGGGTGAGGACAAACCTGCCACACCGGCCAGCCCTGCTCAACCCCCGCCCCACCTGTGCCCTCTGCCATGACCTTGAGTCCCCACCAGGAAGCAGTGACTTCATTTTCTAATGAAAGAAAATTGCCCTTCAGTGAGCTGAGGGTTGGGGACAAGGTTTCTTGAGGGCTTAGAAGGGCTCTATAGGCAACATTCCCATGTATCTACTAATACTCCTTCAAACTGTAAAAATAAACTAACATTAAAAAATAGCTTTGGAAAAGAAAAAGGTATCACAGTCACCATCCTATCAACATCTATAGGCAACATTCCCATGTATCTACTAATACTCCTTCAAACTGTAAAAATGAACTAACATTAAAAAATAGCTTTGGAAAAGAAAAAGGTATCACAGTCACCATCCTATCAACAACTATTTTCCAAAATACTTTCAAAGTTGAATAGACAGAGGAATCCTTCTAAATATCCAATGGCTAAAATTCAGCTTCTGATGTGGCCCAGGTAAAGAGAGACAGGGTCAAATGTGATATGCACCCCTTTCTTACTGAGGACTATTGTCTTTTCTATCTTTTTGGCACAGGGGGTGAGGGGCAGGAGAGCCATGATTAGATGCTACTCTCTCAGCTCAGGTCCACCCTGCAGCAGCCACCTGCACTTCCACCAGCGAGCTTTCCAGAGCAGTTTCTCCAGACACCGTGCGCGCATTCCCTGCATGCACGGGGCACCTGTAAAATGTACCCCAGAGTGAGGGGGGTGCTTTTATTTCCTTTTCATTATGGAAAAATCAAAACAATCTGCTAAAATACAAAGAACAGTATAAGGAACCTGCATGTACACATCACCCTACTTCAACAACTGTTGAATTTGTGTAATGTACACCCGCACCCACTTCCCCTACCCACCTGTGATTTTTTTTTTTTTTTTTTTTTTTTTTTTTTT